TTATGAGGCATATCAGACAAGGGTTCTAATCATATGAATTTCAATTCTAAAGTTCAATCACGTAAGAGAAATCTATGGTCAAAGTTTTGTTAATTTGAAATTTGAATATGATTTTTCTCCCTAACAATGAGTGCTCTTAATACCAAATTGGTTTGTACCACAAGTTCGATACTACACTTAAGTTTTTTTTTTTTGAATTAGGAGAAAGGAGATTCAAACTCTACTATTAAACAAATAAACCAAATGCTTAAGTGTTGATATTATACTTTAGATTCAACTTGTTAATAAAATTTAATATTAAGTCATTTTTAAACAAGATTCAATAAGAACTCAATATTTTGTGAAAGATTTTTGTTTACACATTTCAAACAAGTTTGAATTCTAAAAATAAAGAAAATTGAATTTAATTGTTAAGTTCATACATGCATTTTATTTTAGAACTAAAGCAAGTGGGCAATCGCAACGAATTTTAAGAAAGCAAAAATTATGGCATGGTATTCTACATTCTACACTTGGAAAAAAAACATGTGACATTTCAAAGATAAGTTTGAACACACATTTTCTTTCACCGGGAAATGTCATCTCATGATTTTTTTTTTCGTAATCTTAAGAAGCTACTACCAAAGCACATGAGTGTCATAACACGGAATATTTTTACCTTATTAATTTTTAACAAAAATTCATTCAAAATAAAAATTTGATGACAAAATTAAACGTAATAAAATTTGATATTGAAGTAAATTTGGTATTTAAACATTGTTTTTAATCACTATTTTGTCTACAATTCTGTTTTTCTTTTTATTCAGATAAAATAAAATTTTAAATTAATTTTTTTGAATATAAGGTGCGTATATCTACAATTGAACACATATTCGAAACTTAGAATTGTGTTTATTTGTGTGTTAATTAGAGTACTAGAGAAGATTAGATTATTCAATTTGAAGTTCACATGTTGTAGGATTCCCCAGCGGACACGGTAAAGTGAAAAGATTGTTTCGTGTGGATGGTACTGGATGACCGCTCATATTTTGAAGTTCCCTACCAAGGTATGTCAGTTGTGGAATTTTTCGTTGACAGAGTGATAACAGTTAACGTCTAGCTTGGTAAAACCCAAAATGCAAATGCAGGCATTCCTCTGATCAAATTAGGATGCTGGCTTCAGACACTAGTGTTACAATTTTCTCCTTCATTTGTTTGGTGTTCCACAGGCGAAGATAAAGCCAAAGATGATCAACAGATTAACAAATCAAAATATGTAAAGAAAAGAGAATCACAGAAGCAAGATATATAGCACAAGCCTGATCATCTATTTATGTTAACACAGTCCTTTATATGTATGTTCATGGAGAAAGAGCTGAAAATACAAGGGTGTTCTGTTCCGTGCTCTTAATGGGGAAAGACTAAACCAACAAGAAAATAGCTAAAAACAAATCCAAAAAAGGGTAAATTGCAAAGGAAAGACGATGGATCAAGTCAAGAGCTGCGGACAAGAACGCTTTGCATCATGTGCTTGAACTCGAAGAAATCGACACGGCCATCATGGTTTTGGTCAACGGAACAGATCATCTGTTGAACTCTGTCGATCTCTCTCCCTTCTGGCAATCCCAGTTTCCCCAACACCACTTGCAATTCCTGGGCAGAAATGAATCCATCGCCGTCCTCATCGAACACTTTAAACGCCTCCGTCAAGTCCGAATCCTCCTGCGACATCTTCGCCTCTGACCCATCACATACCGTGTTTTCAACTCCCTCCTCCTGATCATCCTCTTCCAAGCCAAAGAAAGTTTGGTCCAATGACTGATGCAAAGCAACAAAATCTTCGAACTTGAGGCCCATGTTGCCAGGCTCTATAAACGATTCGATGGTTGAATGTAGCTCGGAGAGATCTGCTTCGAGGCCTATAAGACTAAGGGCCTGATTAATCTCTTGGACGGTTATCATGCCATCGCCATTCTTGTCAAAGATATCGAATACGCGTCGAAGACGGAGGGAGTTGAGGCTGGGGCAGCGCAGACGAAATGACGAGGTCGATGAGACCTTTCTACTCAGGCTGCGTTTGCTTTGAGGATCAGTTCCAATATCCGCCGAGGCTGCTGCTGCTGCTTCCATTTCCATATATGCCTTGTATAAATCAACCCGACGGAATCGGCAGCAGCTTCCGATGGAGTATTGGAAAAGCCCGTATTAATTGAGTTAACGCACAAGAGAGACAAGCAGGGGAAAGGTAAACACTAAATAGCAACGGCGCTGGCTATTTCTCCAATATCCATTAGCGCTGCTATTTTATAAGGGACAAGGCGCGTTTGGCGGCTGTTACGGATTATTTCAGCCAGCCACGAGATGACGACTCGTCTTTTCTTCTGGTATTTCTAGACATATTCCCAAAACCTGTCTACAAGTCACGGGTTCAATATTAAATGAAAGTATATAATTTATTTCCTAGAAACACTTAAAAGGAAAAAACATTGTTGTCTTTTGGCTGGAAATTTCTGACCTGGTTTGAGTGGTGGCCTTCGTTTGAATTTGCGTTCCAAGACCGTTACTAACAAGTAATAGCAACTTGACGCGATTTCTCCACTTGCTACGTTGAATCATCCGAAATTTCGAAGGGACTGCTTATTTACCGAATCCCATTTGCCCGCACACGTTTCTGAAAGTGGAAAGTTTTTCCAAATCCAAATTACCTAAACCCCATTGATAAATGGTCAAAGTCATCACAAAGGAACATTCTTACCTAAAAATGTTTATAGCTATGAACACTAAAAATTAGATCTCCGCCGGTAAAAATCATCGTGTGTAGTAAGTAACTTCGTTTGTCAAAACTTGAGATTGCATAAAATTTATGGAAAGTTGAAAAAGCTTAGTTGGACGTGTTCCTTGGAGTACATATATATATATATATATATTCTTCGTCGGTACCTCCTTAGTATATTAAATTTACTAGATAGTCAGTCATATGGCCATGCTTTGTACACCGTATTAGGCCCGCTGCTTTTTGCTGACTACTTGGGTCCGTTTTATGCACCTTTGATTTTGATTAAATAATAGTATTTTTCTGATATTCATTGCTTTAAAAACTTTGGCAGAGAAATATTATTGTAACAAATTAAGTTTTATTTGATTGATATTTTTATTTATTTTATATTTTACTCCTCTTTATAAAAAAATAAAAATATTAATCAAACAGAATTTTAATTATGTGTTCTAAACCATATATTTCTTTTCAAAACCGAATAAAATTTATTTGCATCGCTTTTCTATCAAAAAAGGGTCCTTTCTTGTTTTATTGAAAAAAAAAGAGAGAGATAAAAACCAATAATAATAATAATAATAATAATAATAATCTTGTTAGAATTTAAAAAATTAATAGAACTTTCATGAATTATTTATAACACAGTCCTAAAACCATATTTCACAATTTAAAAGCACAAATCCTATCGTTGAAGTGGAATTTGATGAACAAAGAAGATATTAAAAGAAAAAAAGAAGAAGAGATATTTATGAACCCAAGTAAAAGAGTCAAGGTAGAAGAACGAACATTGCAAGATTTGACAAGCGGCTTGCTAACGCTTTTTTCAGGAATGAATGAGTTAGGACAGCTAATGGCTAGGTGACTTTGTTTTGATTGTGTTAAGTTTATTTTTTTTAAAAATAGATATAAAATTCTTTATAACAACTCATTTCAAGTTTTGAAGTTGGTTAATTTGAGAAAGATCTTCAATGTTAAGGTTGCTTCGGTTCAATCTTTGCTTGCAACCATGTGCAATTTTTTTATTTATCATTATTTATATTTATAAAATATTTAATTTAATGATAAATAAATATATAAATTGATTAACAAGTTTAAGTATTTAAGATAAAATATAATCATATTCAAGTTACAAGTATCCAAAGGGAGATACTTATATCTTACACAAACCTGAGAAAGTAAAAATCTTTTTATTCCAACTCGTCTCAAAGGTGATTATAAGTAACTTAAACCCAACATAATGGGTTAGGTAAGATTGGGTATCTAGATATTCACTACCCATTACCATCTTTACTTTCAATTCTTAAAAATTTTATTTTTATATTATTAAATATAAAAATGATTATTTAAAAATCTCACATGATCTTGGCATGAGAGTTTTTTTTTTTTTTAAACAAAAGTAGTTTTAAATCTTTATTCCTAAATGAGGATGCTTTTAAACTTATTTCTCATATAAGGTATTTTTTATCATTTAAGTACAAGGTCATATTTTGGATAACGAAATAACCATATCATAGTCTTTTATTTAAAAAATAAAATTTCTTAATAATTTCTTATTAACAAAACCCTAGTTGATTACACCCTATACACAACCCCAAACCCTTCAACCTTAAAACATCATTTCTTGATTGGATTTACGAGGGATGTTTTAAGGTCGAAGGATTGGAGATTGTGTTTTAGCTTGTAATTAATTAGGGTTATGCTAATTTAAAAATTATTAAGAATCTTTATTTTTAGAATAAAATCATTTCTTTATTAAAAATATGAATAGCACTTAGGTGACAACAAAAACCTCAAAATATTTTTATTTGAAAATAAAGATTTAAATTTATTGTCTTTGTGTGGGAAAAAACTCATTGACATGATATTAATGCAACTGAAAATATTCAATAAAAATACAAAAATAAGTTTAAAAATACCTGTATTTAAAAATAAAGATTTTAAAGTACTCCTATTTGGGAAATGACACATTTTTTGGTCTTCATGCTAGTTATATGACTAATTGCAGTTACTCCATTCATGGAAATCCATAATCTTTCTTAATTAATCTTTGGCCTAAGATAATAAGAACTCGTAACCATGAAATCGGTCACACATTTAACGTTTGAGTCCTCTACTCGAGATCTCGCTTTAACTATTTCTCCAATAAATAACTTGTCAGACCCTCAGCTTCTCCTCATGCATCTATCCATCGGTTTGCTCTCTTTCCTTATCAACTATTTACATTAAAAAAAAAAAAAACATTATGATGATGGCTTGCAAAAATATGTTTGTTCATTTGGTCATATTGTGCGTCTTGGCTAGTAGTGCAACTGCTGCAAGGGAGCTAAACGGCTACAACAAGGCGTCAGGCCATAACCACCTTGCAGCAAGGCTTAAGGTTAGTATAGACTCTTACAAGTGCTGGAATGCACTAAGTCAGTTGAACTATTGCACGATGGAGATTTTTCGCTTCTTCGTGAATGGCCACACTGGTATTACACGTGACTGTTGCAGTGCCATTCAGGACATATATGACTGCGACCCTATCGTGCTCATTTCCCTTGGTTTCACAGCAGAGCAGGAAAACATCCTTTTGGACTATTGTTATGCATCTTTTGGCCCTGTTGTTGATCCTCTTGTTGGCTCTCCACTTAGTGCCGAAGCCCTTGCTTAGAGAAAGGGTTTTATTTTCTTTGGTGTTACGTTTCTAATAGCATCACCACAGGTTGTCATGGTGCTTGCTGTGTGACGAAGTTGTTTGAATAAATTGAATAATAAAAGAGACTTTAGAATCACTTCTATCATTAGTCCTTGACTTTTTAGTGATGTTTTGTTTTCATTCGTGACCTGAAAAAAAATTAATTTTTACATTCACACCTTTTAAATTTGTTTCAAATTCATCTACCCGTGCCATTAAATTTTAGACGAAATTTGCCATATATATGTCTACCATAATTCAAAGTACGACATGACAAATTTTGTCCATATTCCATTCAACTTTTAACGCTTATTGACGGATGAATTGATTAATTTGGAACAAACCCAGTCCTAAAATCATATTTTACTGTTTAAAAGTACAAATCCTAGCATTGAAATGGAAGATGATAAACAAAGAAGTTATTAAAAGGAAAGACACATATAAAAACCTAAGTAAAAGAGGTGAAGTAGAAGAAAGAACATTGGAAGATTTGACAAGCGGCATTCTAACTCTTTTTGCACAAATGAATAAGTTAGGGCAATAAATGGATAGGTGGTTTTGTTTTGATTGTGTTAACTTTTAAAAAATAGATATGAAACTCTTAATAACAAATGATTTCAACTTTTAATTAAAGTTGGCTAAGGTGATAAAGATTTTAATGTTAAAGTTGCTTGATTCAATTTTTCTTTCAACCATGTGAGATTTTCATTATTGATCATTACAATTATTAAATATTTAATTTAATATATAAGTTGGTTAATGGGTTCAAGTATGTGTTATTATCGGCATAAAGCATAATCAGATTCAAATTACAAATTTTCAAAAAAAGATACCATACCTTACACGAACTCGAGGTGAATAATAATTTTCTTAACCAAACCTAATTATAAAATACTCGAATCCTATATAATCAAGTCGGGTAGGATTGGATACAAGGATATTCACTGCCCATTGCCTTCTTAGTTTCAATTCTTAAAAATTTGTATTTTTATCTTTATAAAAATAATTTTTTTTGAAAGGCAAACCTTTTTATTAAAGAGATATAATGGGGTTTTTTACCCTTCTTATACAAGTGATTGACAGCCTCTTAGAGGCATTACAATGTACATGGGCGGAGCTAATCAATTTTTATTAGAAGAGTAAAAGATGAAAAAAAATAAAAAATAAAAATTTTTAAAATTAATACATTGTATTTAAACAGCAATCAAAAGATTTATAATAGACAATAATTTTATAGAATAGATAAATCAAAAGGAATAAGAAAGAAAAAACTTATAAAAAAATTGTCCTCGATAATATTTTCTAGATTCATAAAATATAATACTTAAAATATAAATAATTAAATATGATATATAGAATTTCAAATAATAGTTAAATATATAATAAAAAGAAGAAGATAAAAGAAAACTTTACCTTGCTCAAGTTCACAAACTCATAAATTTCTCTTTTAAAAAGTAAAGTATGTCTTAGTGGTTAATTAGCAAAGTAAAATAAAAGAACAAAGGAGAAGAGAAAGAGAAAAAGGAAGAGAGAGAGAAAGAGGTGTGAATAAACATTGATGAGGACTTGCAGGGTTATTTTATTATTTATTATTTATATTAATTATTAAATAAAAAATATTTTGAGGAGCATTAAAAATTTATAATAAATAAAATGTTTCAAAATTTTTGGACAGGTATCCCTTGCCATCTAAGTGGCGCAATTTCATATTTTTGATTACGGAAATAAACATATAGTATTCTTTTATTCAAAAAATAAAATTCTTAATTGTTTTTATTTAGCAAAACCTTAATTGATTACACCCTAAATACAATCCCTAACCCTTAAACCTTAAACCATCTTTACTAAATCCAATCAAGAGACACAGAGACATATAAAAGCAGTTCAATATTGATTGTTGTATCTGAGACAGTCTCTAATTCGAATCCATGAAGCAGCCGAGCCAATGCTAAGTGCAGGATTTGAGGTGCTAAAATGACGCTTGGACACATGCTTTTGTAAGAACCAAATGATATGTCCTCAAAATCTTGACCCCTTACATCAAACTTGGCATACTCATTAAGGAACTATTCAGGCACAAATCCTGAAGGCTTTGCCAAAATGTTGGACTCTCGCATCGAATTCCATAGGTTAACAAGAAGGCGAGTGTCTGTTAGAACTTGGAAACCGTTACTGTACAGTACTCCATGGCTTCTCGTGATTGGGTATAATCGTGATTCTTCCTTGACAATGCCATGACGATCCTTTCCTACCCAGTTTGAGCCGTCTTTAATGATGGCATGACGGTTGTTCAATAACAAGGAGAATGTCCTTGTAAGTCTAAGCACTGTGGTGCCATTGCCATGGCCACCAAAGCGAATACTTTGATCAAAGCAACAGCCGTCGGCATGCATGGACTTTGCTGCGGCCTTGCATTTCTTGTTTGGATTTGGTACGAATGTTTTAGGGTTGATGGATTAGGGTTGTATTTAGTTTGTAATTAGTTAGAGTTAGTCTAAATCAGAATTTTATTATTGGAATACAAATTTGATGTAATCATTTCCTAATTAAAAATATAACATGACAAATAGTGAAAAGATATCTAAAAATACTTTCATTTGGGAATAAAGATTTAAAGTTATTCTTAGGTGAGAAATATCTTGTTGATATAATATTGATGTGATTTAAAATATTATACACAAAGAAATAAATTTAAAAATTATCTAGATTTAAGAATAAAGATTTTAAAGTACACCTATTGAAATACGACACAGTTTTGGTTTTCATACAAGTTACATGACTAATTGCAGTTACTCGAGTTATAGAGACCCATCATCTTCTCTTAATTAATCCATTGGTTAAGACAATTAGAACCCGTAATCATGAAACCAATCACACCTTTAACTTTATAGTCCTCTACTCGATGTCTCGCTCTAATATATCCCCTATAAATAAATAACCTCTCAGACACTCACCTTCTCCTCATGCATCTATCAGCCAGTTTGTTCTCTTTCCTTATAAACTATTTACATTAAAAAGGCAAAAAAGTTATCATGGCTGGCAACAATGTGTTTCTTCTTTTGTTCATGGTGTGCCTCTCGGCTAGTGGTGCAACTGCGACAAGGGAGCTGAACGGCTACAGCAAGGCGCCAGGCCATAACATTGCAGCAAGGCTTGATGAGGCTAGTTTAGTTTCTGTTAACTGTTGGAATGTACTATATCAGTTCACTCCTTGCGGGATTGAGATTGTTCGCTTCTTCATCAATGGCCGAAATGGTATTATTCGTGACTGTTGCAACGCCATTCAGGACATGGAGCATTGCGAGCCTGGCATGCTCATTTCTCTTGGTTTCTCATATGAGGAGGAAAAAGCCCTTATAAGCTATTGTGATGCATCTTTAGGCCGTGCTGCTGCTCCTCTTGCTGCCTCTCCGCTCAGTGCGGAAGCCTTCATTTAGAAAATGAGGCAACATTTAAGATGCTCAAGCTTGGTGTTTATTTTCTTTGGTTGATGTTTTTAGTAGCATTACCCCTGCTTGTCACGGTGTTTGCTGTGTGGTAAACTTGTTTGAATAAATTGCATGAATAAAGGAGTTTAGAATAAATTCTATCGACAGTGCCTGAGTTTTTTGTGTTGTTTTATTTTTTTTCGCAACCTGAAACTTATATGAGCTTTAAGGGAAAAGAATAATATGTTCAAAGCTCTTAGGAAAAATATAGGCTATAGTAGTGGCTCTAGCATCCATGCCATACTTTGTAAAAAATATTCAAGATCTAAGTAAAAAATTAAACTGCTTGATAAAAAAAAATAAAGAATTACATAAGAGATTATTTATAATAACTAATTAAATTTAAACCTATTTGGTGTGTGAGTAAAGTAATTATAATAGTCAATTAAACCTAAACCTACTTAGTGTGCAAGTAAACAAAATAGTAAATAAAGAAGTATCTAACTCTAAACTTTCTTGAAATACAAGCAAAGTAAAAAGAAAATAGGGAAATATTTTTCCTAAAATATTCTTAAAAATTAATAATTACAACTCATGCACTTCCCCTCAAGTTGGAGCATAGATATCAATCATGCCTAACTTATCAATTAGACTATGGAACACTTTCCCTGAAATTGCTTTCGTGAGAATATCAACTAAGTGGCCTCAAGATTGGACAACTAGAAATTGTATAATTTCTTGATCAAGGTTTTCCTTGATGAAATGTTGGTCAATTTCAACACGCTTGGTGCGATCATGTTGTAAAGGATTTTGTGCAATTTCAATGGCTACCTTATTATCACAATAAAGATTCATAGGTTTTGCATTTTCAATTCCCAACTCGTTGAGAATTCTCCTAATCCACAATAATTTGCATACACCATAAGCGATACCTCAAAATTCAGTTTCTACACTTGATCTTGCTATAACG